TTATTGCCTCTCCAGGATACAGCACAGCACAGATGGAATCTGGTCACAGAGCTGGGCTAGGATGCCTCAGGCCCCCTTGAGATGGGGGAGACTGGGCCCCTAAACTCCAGCCCCTTCCCCTAGGCTCTCCTCCATGCTCCCCGACCGAACTAACTCAATACCCTTCCAGCCCTGCCCCCCAGTCAGGGCAGCATTCCACCTTCCTTTGTTCCTCTCCATGGGGGGTGTCTGGCCACTGGTTCAACAAGTTTGGCACTACCTTTGCATAGTGAGGTTTTCCCTGCTGGGTCTTGCTCCAGACAGCAGGGGTCACCACATCCCAGCAAGTACCCCCACTACGTCACAGCAATAACCCAGGGTAAAGGCTCCGGAAAGTCACGGACAGAGCACCGCCCCCAGTGTGACCAATGGCCCAGTCCGCAGTGTCTCCGCACTGTAGAAAACCTGCTTCCCCCTGTTAGTGCAGGCCCGGCTCTGCCCTGTCACTGTGTATCCCCTGGCGCAGCACTAGGGGGCGCTGTCTGCAGTGAAGGAGCAAACTGTGCCCAGCAGCCACACCCGGGCAGGTCTGCTCCTGGAGGAGATCGAGGCTCCTTAAGACCAAGGGTTGGTATTTAAAGCGGAACCTCCCTTGGAAGGTTCCCCAGAATTAATATACAAAAGGACAGGGTGTGAGCTGAGTCCACACCTGGGATCCCTTCCCTGGACACGACCTCCCTCAGAGTGAGTTCTGCTCAGCGAAATGTGTGAAAGCTCCTGAGGTAAAGGGACGCTCAAACTCAGTTTACAAACATTTAATCCTCTTAAAGGAACGAAGGACATTGTGGAGAAGCTTTACCTAATTAATCTGCTGGGGCCATGCTGGCTGCTTCTAATAAAGTTGTGATTTTACATAGCATTTCCAGCTTGGTTTCTATATTTTTTTTTCTTCCTACTGTCAATCCAAGTTAACTATCCTGATACACAGACACTAACCTTCCACCCCCCCCCCATATTCTGTTCTAAAATTTGATTTGTTAATTTCACATGCATTCATTTTTTTGATTGTTTCACTTTGGTATATATGGTTGTACCAATTTTCTTCCACAAATTGATCTGAGGAAGTGGGTCTGGCCCACGAAAGCTCATCACCTGAAAAACCATCTTGTTAGTCTTTAAAGTGCTACATAGTTCTGTCTTCTGTCTCAGTTAGACCAGACTAACACGGCTGCATCTCTATCATTGTGGAGAAGAGAATGTATACCCTGTCTCCTGTGGCTTGGGGATTTCAAAAGAGCCCGCGGGAATTGAGACCGCAAATGGCATCGGAAAGCAGGATCTGGGATTTTAACTCTCAGTCTGAATTTTTTTGTTTGTTTGTTTAATTTTGTTCACCAGTGGAGTTCAAATGTCTCCATTTGTGCATCCAAAAAACTCCAGGCAATTCATAATCACCTCACGGAAGTTTTGCCTTCGGATGCGTATCTGATCTCCATCGCTACAGGATCCGCACCCCTCACACTCTGTAACGCGTCAGTCTTACTACACCCCTGCGGCAGGCGCGCTGTTACCCCCATTCTGCAGGCGAACACTTGAGGCCAGGCAAGACAGAACGACTTCCTGTCGGTCACAGGGGTATTCCGAGGCAGAGTAAGGAAGCGAACCCGAGTGGCTGTTTCATGCACTAACCATTGGACCGTTCTCCCTCTCTTCAAGGCAGGGCAATTCGATGAGAGCCGTGCGCTCTGAGCTTCCTGGAAATGATTAGGAAGGGCGTTCGCGAAGGCAAACTGTTTATTTGAAGCTGGCAGGAGTCTGCGCTGACTGAACTCACAGGACCTGATCCAGCGCCCGTGGAACCGAGCGGGGGGGGGGGTGCAGGATCTGGGATTTTAACTCTCAGTCTGAATTTTTTTGTTTGTTTGTTTAATTTTGTTCACCAGTGGAGTTCAAATGTCTCCATTTGTGCATCCAAAAAACTCCAGGCAATTCATAATCACCTCACGGAAGTTTTGCCTTCGGATGCGTATCTGATCTCCATCGCTACAGGATCCGCACCCCTCACACTCTGTAACGCGTCAGTCTTACTACATCCCTGCGGAAGGCGCGCTGTTACCCCCATTCTGCAGGCGAACACTGAGGCCAGGCAAGACAGAACGACTTCCTGTCGGTCACAGGGGAATTCCGAGACAGAGTAAGGAAGCGAACCCGAGTGGCTGTTTCATGCACTAACCATTGGACCGTTCTCCCTCTCCTCAAGGCAGGGCAATTCAATGAGAGCCTGGAAGTAATTAGGAAGGGCATTCGCGAGGGCAAACAGTGTTTATTTGAAGCTGGCAGGAGTCTGCGCTGACTGAACTCACAGGACCTGATCCAGCGCCCGTGGAACCGAGCGGGGGGGGGGGTTGACTCAGCGGGCACCGGAGCAGCTCCCAGATCGCAGCTGAAATGTGCGTGAACAGGTCTCCCCGCGTAGGGCAGAGCGGAGCGAAGCTTCCCCTGCAGCTGCGCCAGAGGAAACAGCCCGTGACTCAGCGATGGCTCTGCCAGGCAAGGCGGATTTCTGTCCCAGCCCGGCGGGGCTGTCACTCACTGTGTCTCTCGCGCAGTAATACAGGCCCGTGTCTTCTGCCTTCAGGCCCGTCATCTGCAGGCTCAGCAGGCTGTTGGCGTTGTCTCTGGAGATGGTGAATCGGCCTTTGACTGCCTGGGAATAATACATGGTTGATCCACTGGGGCTACTAATGAAAGCGACCCAGTCCAGTCCTTTCCCGGGAGCCTGCCGGACCCAGCTCATCTCGTAGCTACTGAAGGTGAAGCCGGAGGCTTTGCAGGAGAGGCGCAGAGAGTCTCCGGGCTTCTTCACATCCCCTCCGGACTCCACTAGCTACACCTGGGACCGGACACCTGGCAACACAGACCGGTTATGAATATTGGTTTCAACACAAGGAGAATTAAATAAGCTTCTACCTCTGCCTTTATTCAGAGAAAGAAAATACCTTCCAAAGCCGCTACAGCCAAAATTACTAAAAGCAAAAAAGTCCTTGTCCCTGGTGCTGAACTGACTTGTCGCTGCCCAGACACAGGGGCTGAGGGTTGTCCCTGCGGGTGCAGCCTGGGCAGAGGGAGGAACAGTTTTAAGGGGGACACTGACTCCCTCATTTGCATGTCCCGCGCCTTATAAGAGACAATCTCCCTCTCCGGGATCTGACTCACTCGCCCCAGGTCTCTGGGTACCGGAGTCAGACTTCCCAAGCCCCCTTGTCTGTCGCTCGGATCCTCCTGACACTTTGGGACACCTGTAAGGAATGAAGCCGGCGGTGACTGTGTTTCCTCACACAGGGATTGAGAGACTGGCTGTTGCCAGATGTTATGGGAGCCTAAGGCCTGACTCCCAAACCCCTTTTGGGAGAGCCTCGATCTATTTACGGGCCGGGGGTTCTTCTCGGGGCTAGTCCATCCCTTCTAGCAGCAGCGCCACCTGCTGATCAACGCACGGCACTTTCACTACAGGAGATTTTAGTCTTTCCCGAGTCATTCAGTAAAAACTGGACTTGTTCATTTTTTAATGATGAAAAGACTTTGCGGCTGTACACCAGTGTGACCCGTTGGGGTTTTCCCGTCTCCTGCACCCCCGTAATGGCACGAACAGACTCCACCAGCCAGTAGAATAGAGGGAGTTTATTGCTTCTCCAAGATACAACACACCACAGCATAGGTGTAATCTGGTTACAGGAACTGGGGCTAGGAGGCCTCATTGCCCCCCCTTGAGATGGGGTGTGGCTGGGCCCTACAATCCCAGCCCCCTCCCTAGCTCCTTCTCCCCTGCTTCCCAGACAGAAACCTAACTAACTCACTTCCAGCCCTGCCCCCACCCAGGGCTCCACTCCCCTTCTTCCCATTGTTCCGCTCCCTGGGAGATAACTTGTCAGACAGGTTCTAAGCTCCCTTGCATAATGACTCATCCCCTGCCCTGCTGGGCCATGCTACAGACAGCAGCCAGTGGAGGTCACTCACAACCCACTGCCCAGAATAGCAACCAGCAACGTACCCCCCATTACGTCACACGGGCTCACCCAGCAGGGGTTTGCATGCGGGTGTCAGGGCGTGGATTTGATCGAGGAGACGCCCAGTTCAGCACTTCTGACTCCGACCCTCGGGGTTTTCCAACAGAAATGGGAGCGACCCGGGTGGTGCAGGGCTGGTTTTGGGTTCCGCGTGCACATCAGATGTGGGACTGACTGAGGCTGCAGGGAGAAGTGGCTCCTGAATGTGCCAACAGGGATGATGGTTCAGCCTGTCCCACAGTGGGATTAAAGGGAATCTCTCCCCCTTGCTGCATGTCTTCTGTCCAGTCCGGCCCTTCCCCAGCGGGCTGCTAGATTCCCTTGCGGGAGGGAAAACTCCGAGGCATGGACAGATCTGAGGCATCACAGGTCAGTATGAGGTTCTCTCCATCTCTCCCAATTCCCAGGTACACGTGGGACTGCCCCAGCCTGGGGGCGGTGCAGCAAGGGACCTGCTGCGGAGACCCGATGCCTCGGGCTCTGTGATGGCAGGGTAGGACAGCAGCAGCCGGATTTCAAAGAGGACACGTTACCGACCATTCAACTGGAGGGACCCTTTGTCATATGAAACAATTAGGGCCAAGATTCCAAAATCCCTGTAACATCGCTCCTCTATCAGACTGGGCCAGTCTCCATCTTTGGGAGGAGATGTGACCACCTGGAAGGAATGCAGCTAGTTTCTGTGCTTGTGTATTTCGAACAAAGTGAAGTTCCTGGTACTATTTTAACTGGAGGATTTCTCCCAATGAAGATGCCCCCACACGGCGAAGAACGCCAGGGGCAGAGTCACTGACTGACTGCTAGAGCCACTAACATGCCCCCCTTCCATTGCCTCTTGGGCAGGACACACACGGGTACCGGCAGGGGGGAAACAGGACTAGAGTTGCCCCCAGGTTCACAACTTTCGCTGATCTCAGAATGTCTCCGAACTGTGGCAAAACCGCTTCCCCTTTTCTATCGGTCCCGGAGTTGCGCTGTGTCACTGTGTCTCCCGGAGCAGTAATAGGTGGCGGTGTCCGCAGCTGTCAGCGAGCGGAGCTGCAGCAAGACCTGGTTCCTGGCGGTGTCCGGTGAGATGGTCACTCGGCCCTGCAGCGCGCTGGGATACTCAGTGTACCACGTGCCAGACCGGTACCACGTGCAGCCCAGCCACTCCGGCCGTTTGCCCGCGGGCTGCCGGACCCAGTCCCAGGTGGCGCTGGTGCTGGAAACCGAATTTCCGGAGATGGTGCAAGTGACTGTCAAGGACTCCCCGGGCTTCGCCGCTCCCGGGCCCGTTTCCTTCAGCTGCACTTGGGAGAGGACACCTGGGAGGGAAACACGCGAATGACGGAGAGAGCCAGGCCCTGTCCCCTGGGAGCCGGGAACATGTGAAAATTAAACATCCTGACACTGCACCTAAGGGACTGAGGCACCCAACAACCACGGATTTGCCTTGGAATCCGGGCACCTTATTCCCCTGGGCTGCTGGAACGGCTCCTCTTCTGCAGTCAGTGCTGCGGGGATCCCCCCGGTCCCCAGTAGCCACGTACCTGAAGGGGCCCCAAGCAAAAAGAGGAAAATCATCAGCAGGTTCATTTTCAGTGAAGGTGCAAACGGTCCCCCAAATTTAGGACCCGGCATTTATCTGCCTACGGGGAGACTGAGGCTCCTCCCAGCAGGGGCCTGGATTTAATCAAGGGCGCCGGGGCAGGAATTTGCATGCGGGTTTCACAACGCGGCTATAAGAGATGTCGGGGTGTGAGCTGTGTCCACACGTGGCGATCTGTGCCTGGGACGCGTGTCCGCCTGAGACAGGGAGCTCAGCCCAGCAGGGGTGTGTCTGTGTGTGAAAGCTTTGAAACTGCCTCAATATTTGGGAATCCGAACTCAGTAAGGTGTGTAAATGGGATTTGGTCTTTTCACACTAAAATTCGCAGCCCCCAAGCGGAGCGCAGGAAAGACCCTTGTGAGGCAGGAAGGTCTATACGGTACATCCCTCCTCACTTGTGATTTTCGCTGGTATTGGGAAGGAGCCGAGGGGAGTTAGGAGCCCTGCCCTAAGCGACATACAGTTAGATTTCGGTCCCTAATGCACTGCTGCAGTCCCAAGCTCTAGAGAGCTGCACACGGTTCATGGAGTCTCTGCTGGAATTTGGACCCTTCTCTGTGTGTGAGATGCCCGGGCGGTGGGTGAGTCAGTCTGGGGTCCACAATTTATTACCATTGTTATTCCTGCCGGAAATAGCTCCTGGGATCGCTGACCCCCAGCCTTGCCCGGCCCATGATGGTGATGATGATGCTGACACAAAGCAGGCTGGCCAGTGTGTCGGAGCACTAGGGTGGGAATCAGGGAACCTGGATCTTGTTCCCGCCTTTGCCCCTGGCGCGGTGGGTGACAGGGGGCAGGTCCCTTCGCCTCCCCGTGCCTCAGTTTCCCTTCTGTGAAAGAGAATGTGATAGGATGAGAGCACCCCGGGAGAAGCCCTGAGATAGGGGCCGGCCTGAGGCCTAAGGGCAGAACTCAAGTCCGGCCCTGCCCGTATTACGCAGAGCGAGCAAGAGTCCCGCTGTGCGCAGGCGCCAGGCCCTGTGACTCGCTGCCCCAGATCCGCCATTGGGTAGAACATGGCTGGGGCTGGAAACACAAGAGGGACACTAGGCACTGAGCATGCGCACAAATACCCTCGGGAGGGGCGGGCTCCAGGCGCCCCAGACGATGTAATGTACCGGGGGCCCTGCCGCTGCCGAACCGCCCGGAGTTCACTCATTGCTCTCGAGGAAGGTGCTTTGTTTCATTCGCTTTGGTGAGAGACAAATTTACCGAACAAACCACTTGCATGTCTCTGGAGTTACGGAAGAAGAGGAGTTTTCTGTTGACAGCTTCATGCCATTTGCCTCTGTTGGTGGAGAAGACCTGGCCTTAGTCTCTGTCCCAGGGTTCGGTTCCCGAATGAGGGACCTTTAAGGCGAGAGCTGTCAAATTGGGCATGTTTTTAGAGATAATTTCCAATCACATCAAAAACAAACTGCAGCTTTTAAAAAACTGATTTTGACAACTTTTGGGAAAAATCTCAGTAGGGCAGGAGGTGAGGGATTGGAAGGAGGTCTCTAGTGGGGTTCCCCAGGGATTTATTCTGAGTCTGGTGGTTTTTATTATCTTTAGCAATGACCTGGATGTAACAATTAGAACATAAACCAGTATAAAATGAAAGGCGTCCAACAAGCCATTTGTCACAAGAAACGGTTTATAACACACTAGAAAACTTGAGTTTCTAGAAAACATCAGAAATTAAAAGGTGCCTTGGAGCTTTCAGTACAAAGCGTTATATTAAACCACGAGAAATCATAAAAGAAACTTAAAAGCCCCCCCCCCCAAAAAAATCAGGTGATGCAACAAACTGACACTCGTGCAAAAACAGAAAAAAACAATTTTTTTAATTGAACAAAGTTAATTTCAAGTCGTCACGGCGGGGTATTGGGAAAAGTTTTCAATTAGCAATAATCGCACCTCGGATTAACCTCATCGGCTACAATATTGCCACTGCACAAAGATAATGAAGAAATTCCCCGGCGCCCTCACCCCGGGCCGGCCACGGGCTCCCAGCTTAGGGCGAGGCCCGGTACCGTGGCGGGAAGCCGGGTACGAAGTGCCCCAGCACCGCTGTCTCCTGAGCCCGGCAGCCCAGCCAGACCCAGCGGGCTTGCGGGGTTCAGCGCTTCTGTGCCGCTCAGAACCCTCCGCTGGCCGCAGAGGCCTCTGGGAGCGCGATGGAAATGTGAGACTTTCTTCAGCGGGAGGGATCCAGTCTGTGGGCTCCAGAGGGCTGGCGGGAGGCAGCGGAGAAAGGAGCGGCTCCAGAAAATGGCGGGGCCGGCGCAGCCATCATCCACTTCCTGGCTTTGCCTATTTGGAACCTCACTTGAGCTCAGGAGTGTTCTAAGAGCCCCTGCCCCAGCCTCGCGGGAGGGTCCACTGGCCGTAGGGATAAACTGATTCCGGGGGACAAATAATGAAAAACAGGGTCAGGGGGCGCTGGTCAGAGATTCAAAACAAGGGAGCCAGTTGGGGAGCCAGACACTGGCCCTCTGCTCCTCAAGGCTATCGCATGAAGCCAGGGGATGCTGCCCACAGTAACTCTCCCAAGATACCTGAAACTGTGGCCAAAGATAGTAAACTGCGGTCTTACTCAGCACTCATGGGACACATTCGTGTTTTCTCCTCACAAAAAACAAGGAACAACGCGCACGCAGTCACCAACAATCGAAATTCCCCTGTTCGAGAAAACCGTAGAATTCAGTGCACTCTCAATACAATTGAGCCGCATTCCATGAAAACCAAGATCTTGATCACGGTACTTCCGCCTGCCAAATAAATATGAGCGTGCATTACCCAACCCCCGCCCGCCCTCAGGCGCCCCAACTCTCACATCACGGTGGAACCCACTTTCCCCTCCAAACAACCCCGCCGACAACGCTTCCCGCTGCCTCAAGCAGCCCTGCCTCTGTCTCCACTGCCCACTCGGAGCCCCGCTTGCAAATTAGGGACCGGCGCTGCAGCCCTCTCCCACTCCTACAATGCACCACTCTCACAGACATCTGCATAATTGCTAACACCGCTCCGCCCATCCGAATAGGCCACGCCCCTGGCTGTCTGTGAGCGAGACACTCGCTGTCAACTTAGAGCCTAGACCCGGCCCTTCAGCTGCTCAGAGCCCCCACTCGGAGCCCCGCTTGCAAATTAGGGACCGGCGCTGCAGCCCTCTCCCACTCCTACAATGCACCACTCTCACAGACATCTGCATAATTGCTAACACCGCTCCGCCCATCCGAATAGGCCACGCCCCTGGCTGTCTGTGAGCGAGACACTCGCTGTCAACTTAGAGCCTAGACCCGGCCCTTCAGCTGCTCAGAGCCCCACAGACAGACGCCCGGCTCCTTTCTCAAGTGCTACCAGCGCACGCGTGTGTGTGGGTGGGCGAGCGAATGAAGGGAAACCAGCAAGACGGGTTGGGAGGTGGGGAGACAAGAGGCGTTGCACCTGGCCACACACCCAGGCACTCACGGTGGGTCCTGTCCCCTCCCCGGAACGAGTCCCCGGGAGAGCACATCGAGAGCACGAGGCAGATTCCAGCATCGCAGCCTCAGTTTCCCGCCACAGACCACGCACTAAGAACCGTCGCGCTCCTCTGGGTCAGGGCTTTCCGAGGCCGCCCCAGTCAAGGTGTCCAGACTTGTGCAACCAGCAACGAAGCCCCCCAAATCTCCCTGGTGGGACCTGCTGGCGGCACGAAGGGAGCCTGGGAGCCCCGAGTCACCGAGACCTTTCCCGGGGCTGCATCTGGCTGGAACGCACAGCGACCACCGCCCGGCTGTTCTGTCCAGCACCGCTCCTCCCCCCGCTCTGACGTTACTCCACAGCACTTCCCGAGTAGCGCCCAGGCGCATTCCGGGGACCTGTGACTGGCAGGTCCTCTTGCTGCAAGCGGCCAGGGCTCCTCCCCCGCTGGAGCTGTGGGTGAGCGCTGGGGGCAGCGCCCTGGGGGTGGGTCCAGTTCTGGGACAGACCCACATTTCCTGTCGCTTGCTCCAGCCACATCCAGCTTCTTCAACAGCTGCGATGTCTCCGGCCCCCTCCAGCTGCAGCTGACTCTGTCCTAGTAACTGAGTCAGAGCCTGAAAAATTATGTAGGCACTTAGGGCTCTTAACCTCTTTAGCTCACTGATTCTAAGTCACGGGTGGGTGTGACGTAGTGGGGGTACCTGGCTGGTTTCTATGCTGCTGGCTCTGGGGGAACCCCCACTGGCTGCCGTGGGTACCAGGACCCAGCAAAACAGGATGAGTCACTATGCAAACCAGTGGCCAGACAACCCCCCCGGAGGGGGACAAAA